GAGTTGCTGTTGTCAATTTGATCCCATAGGAATAGATCTTAAAAGAGCACAATGCTCAAAGCAGATATTCTTTACTAGTTAAGCTAAACTATTGTTTGGTTTAAAGATGCCTTCAGGGGATATTTTGGTTTAAGGTTTAAAGTTTATTTCAGGAGAAATAGTTTTGGGGGTTCATCCAGCCTCAGTGGCTCCAGTCAGGCTGGATTCCATTAGAATTTGAAATTCTGTTCTACATTTTCCCCCTTTTGATCAATATTCTTCAACAGAATCTTTGATCAAAATGTTCAGTAACGGTAGCCGGGCACCATCCAGTTCTTCTGGTCTCATGGCAAAGGAGGCAGCTGTTCATGGAGGCAACTGCCCCACATTCCCTGTCCTCCTCCTGTTTCTGACTCTCCTTCTTGCTCTGTTGCTGTCTATTTCTATTTCTTGATTCACTGAAAACGGGGACACACCAATAGGAAATGATGCTGTCTCTATTTTTCTTCCAAATAAATGAAATCCAAAGTTATTTGAGGTGTCCTGTGGGGCCCAGTTCGCCAGTTTCACTTTCTGGTTTTGATCATTTGGTCTATTCTTAGCCCCTATTCACTCTCTAAGGAGGCTTCGCGACACAGTGGTTAAGGGCCTGGCTGCTAACCAGAAGGTTGGCAGTTCAAACCCACCCAGAGGCTCCACAGGATAAAGACCTGATGATCTGTCCCACGAAGATTACAGCCATGAAAACCGTATGGGTGGTTTCTACTCTGTCATATAGGGTTGCTATGAGTGGGAATCGACTGGACAGTACCTCACAACAACATTCATTCTCTGTGTTTATTTGCAGTAAGGGGCAGATCACGGAGCACAGCCCACTGCCCAATGTCTCCTGTGTGGCTGCATAGACCAGGGCTGCAGATGCTGGTTGTTATGGATTGAATTGTGTTCCCCCAAAATATGCATTGTAAATCCTAACCGTATACCTATGGAGGAGCCCTGGTAGAGCAGTGGTTAAGAGCTCGGCTGCTAACAAAAATGTCGGTGGTTAGAATCTACCATCCGCTCCTTGGAAACCCAGTGGAGCAGTTCTACTCTGTCCTATAGGGTAACTAGGAGTCAGAATTGACTCGACGGCAATGGGCTTTTTTGGATACCTGTGGTTATAATCCCACTTGGGAATGGGTGTTGTTATCTTAATGAGGCAGTATTAGTGTAGGGCGTGTCTAAAGTCAGTCTCTTTTGAGATAGAAAAGACATTAAACAAGCAAGTGAGCAGGCAGAGATGGGGGGAGAGAGAGGCCACACGACATGAGGATCCCCAAGGAACCAAGGACCAGCAGCTGCCCCCAGAGCCGGCACAGAGAGCCTTCCCGGAGAGCCGGTGACCTGAATTCGGACTTCTAGCCCCCTAAACTGTGAGAAAATAAATCTCTGTTGGTTAAAGCGCCCACCTGTGATATTTCTGTTACGGCAGCACTAGATAACTAAGACACCAGAGGGTGGAGTCCCCACACCAGAATTATTTATTTGAAAATGTAGGCCATGTCCCCCAAGTTTGAGTATGAGAGGCAACTCTTTCATTCCCTGCACTCAGATGTGAGGTTCTGGCTAAGGAGGGGATGGAAGGGTGTGTGCCAGATTGCCAACCTCAGGAGTACACTAACAACGCCAGGATCCCGAAGTACTGGACAGTGAGCAGTTTACAGGGAACACAGAGTCTAACAAATGCCATTATTTAAGGCTGCCTTGCATGTGCATTTTGAAAAAACGGTGGAAGAACACAAACCAGTGGCTCGACTGTTTTAAACAAATCATGCAGTAAGGACTCACCCAGACGCGAGTCCACCAGAGTTCACTGCAGCACCAGTCACAATCACCAAAGGGACAAACGACCCAAGCGTCTGGTGTTTGTGTGCTATGGAGTCGATTCTGACTCACAGCGACCACACACGACAGAGCAGAACTGCCCCACAGGGCTTCTTAGGCTGAACTCTTTACAGGAAAAGATCGCCAGGTCTCTTCTCCCGAGGCGCGGACGGTGAGTTGGAACTGCCGACCTTTTGGTTAGCAGCTGTGCGCTTAACCATTGCGCCACCGCAGCTCCTTTGTTCAACTTGTGAATATAATTAACATCACTGAACCCTACACGTAAAATGGGTTGCAGTGGCAATTTTTTTGTTGTGTATATTTCACCACAATAAACATTTTTTAAAAAAGAAAACCAAAACACGAATCATGTCATTAAATTTTGTGATAATTGTTCTTTCTCTGCATTGGCAGTATCCAGACCAGCCACTGGGGGTGCTCACCGTTTAGGCACACAGGTGTGGCTGTTCTCAGCTTTAGTAAGAACCACTTGTTACAACCAAAACAACATCTGACCCTCTTGCTTCAAAGAGTATGCGTATTTCTCAAGGGGTCTGTTCAGCAAGACAGCTGTGGGGGGTTGATGCCCACCTTTCAAATTTGTCTTCAGCTTGGACAAAATACTCAAGTTTTAGTATTTCTCTGGATATTGCTTTTCAGTCTTTTACCTTTACCTTAAATCTTGGGTTCCTACCTCAAATCCCAAATCGTTTAGAAGGTGGGGCCAATCAAAATTCATGTGATTTTTGTGTGTGCTATTTCAGAGCAGAAATCCAGGTTAAAGCTATTTTTAAACACTGGGTTACTCAGGGGTGACCTGTTGTATTTAATGATTTCTCTGTGCAGAGTGGAATACGGAACACTTTCTTTTGACTCAAAGATGTTTTCTCTGCTTCTTCAAAATGTACTGAGGCCTGACGTGTAACAAACTGGAGATGTGAAATGACAGAAGTTGTTAATAATTTTAACTTCTAGATTTCCTAAAAGGATGAATTCAGGAGAAATGGAGGCAGTTCAGCAGGTGGTTAGGAGCCTGGGTTTTGGAGTTAGCCACGCCTGAGGTCGAAACCCTGATCTGAAAGATCTTGGGCCAATTATTTAACCTAGCCAACCTTTGGGGGGCAGACATGGCTCACTGGCAGAATTCTCCCCTTCTATGCAGGAGACCCGGGTTCGATTCCCAGCCAATGCACTTCATGCACAGCCACCACCCGTCTGTCAGTGGAGACTTGAGTGTTGTTAGGATGCTGAACAGGTTTCAGTAGTGCTTCCAAAGTAAGACTAGGAAGAAAGGCCTGGTGATCTACTTCTGAAAATCAGCCAGTGAAAACCCTATGACTTCTCAGATATAACCACACACCTCAAAGGATTGATTTACTGGGTTTGAAGTCTTAGGACCATAGTCTCTTGGGACAACTGGTCAACTGGCACAACATAGTCAATAAAGTTTATCTTCTACATCCTAGTTTGGTGAGTAGCATCTAGGGTCTGAAAAGCTTACCAGTGGCCATCTAAGACATAACCATTGTTCTCTACTTGTCTGAGTGAAAGAGAATAAAGGAAACCAAAGACTCAAAGAAGAAACTAGTCTTCAGGGCTAACAGCCTACGCAAACCACAGCCTCATCTGTCCTGAGACCAGGGGAACTAGATGGTGCCCGGCTACCTCTATAGACCATTCTGATCAAGGCCACAATAGATGTTCCCAGATACAATGGGAGAAAATTGTAGAACAAAACTCAAATTCTTAAAAAAGGCCAGACTCACTGGACTGGTTGAGACTAGAGGGAACCCCTGAGACTATCGCCCTGAGATACTCTTTAAACTTTGAACTGAAACCACACTCTGAGGTCATCTTTCAGCTAAATAAAAGATTGGCTCATAAAATAAACCACATCAACGGTGACTACTGTGCACCTTTAAAAAAAAGTCATCCATATAACACCAAACGGTCCACATTTACCCTAAAGCAAATATGAGAAGGTAAGGGCGGGGGCAGGGAAGCTAGCTTACTGGAAACGGAGCAACCAGAAGGGAAATAATGAGAATGTTGACACAATGTGGACAATGTAACCAGTATCACTGAGCGATATGTATCAAAATTATTAAATAGGAACCTAATTTGCTATGTAAACTTTCACCAAAAACACAGTAAAATATCGAAAAAAATAGAAATCCCTACGCAGTACAACAGTCCAATCTGCAAAAGATCATGGGATGGCACGGGGCCAGGACTCATGGTGTGTGAGGTCGCCATGAGTCGGGGGCTGATCGAGGGCAGCTAACAGTGACACTCAAGCTTTACTTTCCTTATGCAGAAAACGGGCAGGATTTCTACCTCAATGGATTAAACATGGTAATGCATGCTAAGTACTTATCACAGCTCCTGGAGAACAGCTAGTACTCAATAAAGTATGGCTTTGTTCAAAACTGAAATTTTCTGTCTCATTCATGCAGAGGGCGTAGAACAGGCAAAGCCCTGTAAGTGAAAGGGCGCACAGTGCCTTTGAAAACTGAGAGACGTTCCCTAGAACTTCTAGAAAAAAGGAGAAAATGGTGAAAGATGAAGTATCTTGGTATCTTGTTAAATTGCCCCCGGCCCCCTCACACCGTTATGAAATGGACCTGCCTGAGAATGACTACACACCTGAAATAAAATGTTGTTGGAAAGAATGAAGGAGAAGACACTTGGCTGAACCCACAGACCCTCTCCTGGGCTCTCTTAATGCACTAATCTCTGTGCAGCCTTTGGTTCCCATATGGGGTTGACGTAGTCAACTAAACGAACGTCTGAAAGATCACTGTAAGGAACGAAGACGTTTGACGTCTTTATGCAGCCCCTTTGATAAAAATGAAAGCAAAATGAAACAGTGGAACAAACTTTTCAAAGGTTACCATAAAGAACTAAGATATTTTACATCTTTATGCAAGCCCTTTGATAAAAATGAAAGCAAAATGAAATGCTGGAGCAAAACAAACTCAGCTTGGGTTTATAACAGACTTATTTAGGATGGTAATGGCAAACGCGGTGTCTGGGGGACAAGCACGGACGGCCTGGTGCGTCAGCACTCCGCTTGGTTCACGCTGATTTTAATCTATGCACGTGAGCCGCTCCTGCTGGGACACCAGACCAAGGTGTACGGTGTGGACACCTACCTTCTTCTTTTGGAAGTTCACATCAAGTTTCATTGAGGCACACTTGTTCAGTGTATTTAGTCGTCTAAAGAGAAAGGAAAATGGGATGATTACCACCATCAACGAATCTAAAGTTTCTTCCCAGTTCCCTACCCAGAAACCACCAAACCGTAGTAGAGGTGACTGGACTTATGGCGACCTCCTGTGTCAGAACTGTGCCCCACAGAGTTTTCAGTGGCTGACTTTTTGGAAGTCGATTGCCAGGGCTTTCTTCACAGGTATCTCTGGGTGGACTAGAACCTCCAGCCTTTCATTAAGCAGCCGAGCACATTAACTGTACGCACCCCCCAGGAACTCCTTCCCGATGAAGATCAAAGACCACAGCCTTCAGTACAGATCACACCTTAACATAAAATGAAAACCCAAATCCAGCGCCGTCGAGTCGATTCCAACTCATAGCGACCCTACAGGACAGAGAACTGCCCCATAGTGTCTCCAAGGAGCACCTGGTGGATTTGAACTGTCGTCCTTTTAGTTAGCAGCTGAACTCTTAACCACTACACCACCAGGGTTTCCCCTCAACACAAAGAAAACAAAAATCCTCACAACTGGACCAATAAGCAATACCATGATAAACAGAGAAAAGACTGAAGTTGTCAAGGATTTCATTTTACTTGGATCCACAATCAACACCAGTGGAAGCAGCGGTCAAGAAATCAAACTACGCATTGCTTTGGGCAAATCTGCTGCAAAAGACCTCTTTCAAGTGTTGAAAAGCAAAGATGTCAGTTTGAGGACTAAGGTGTGCCTGACCCAAGGCATGGTGTTTTTAATTGCATCATATGCATGCAAAAGCTGGACAATGAATAAGGAAGACTGAAGAAGAATTGATGCCTTTGAATTATGGTGTTGACAAAGAATATTGAATATACCATGGACTGCCAGAAGAATGAACAAATCTGTCTTGGAAGAAGTACAGGCAGAATGCTCCTTAGAAGCAAGGATGATGAGACTGTGTCTCACATACTTTGGACATGTTATCAGGAGGGACCAGTCCCTGGAGAAGAACATCATGCTTGGTAAAGTAGAGGGTCAGCAAAAAAGAGAAAGACCCTCACGAGATGGATTGACACAGTGGCTGCAGCAATGGGCTCAAGCATGACAACGCCTGTGAGGATGGTGCAGGACCAGGCAGTATTTCGTTCTGTTGTACACAGGGTCGCTATGACTTGGAACCGACTTGACAGCATCTAACAACAACAACAACAAGGAATCCTTCTCGTTTGATAACCAGTTGCCGTCCAGCAGAATCTGACTAATGGCAACCCCACATTAGTTAGAGTAGATCTGTGTTCCATGGGGTTTTCAATGGCTGATTATCTGGAAGCAGATCACCAGGCCTTACTTTCGAGGCGCCTCTGGGTGGGTCTGAACCGCCAGCCTTTGGGTTAGTAAGTCAAGCGCTTAACCGTCGGCACCACCCAGGGACTCCTTCCAGTTTGACAAAAACCAAAACCAAACCCTTTGCCATTGAGTCGATTCCAACTTACAGCGGCCTACAGGACAGAGCAGAGCTGCCCCATGGTATTTCCAAGGCTGTAATCTTTACAGAAGGAGACTGCCACATTTTCTCCTGCAGAGTGGTGGGTTCAATCCGACGACCTTTTAGTTAGCAGTCAAGCGCTTAACCACCATGCCACCAGGGCTCTCTTCCACTTTGACAGACCAGCTTTACTGCCAGTAAGGTCGAAAGTGCAAAAACAACCAATTATGTCTGAATGAACCACTCCCGCAGAAGGAATGCTATACTATTTGTTCTCCAGCCTCCAGACCTCAGAGGACTCGCCATCATGTCACCCAATCACTTATCCCTTCCCTAATCTAATCCAGCCCTTCCATGGTTACTCCCTCCCGCATTCCTGGAATCCGTGGCCAACCATTTCCACCATACTTTCACCAGCCCCTCAATTCATTTGCCAATCCCAAAACTTAGATCACCCCACCCACCCATTTTTTTCCTCTCCTGCTCTTGGGCTGTTGGGTGTAACTGGAAAAAACTTCGTATTATAGTGCTGATAGACAATTTTTATTTTCACCCTCAGCTGGACTCCCCAAAGCCCTACCCAGCAATCCTTTCGTTTTACTCAGGTTGGCTCCCAACCTCAGACCCTCATAAAGACCTCCGTCCCTCAGCGGGTACCTCAGCCATCACTGCCAAAGAGGAAATGCAAGCTGTTAGACGTAACGTCTCTTAATACCCATCTCCTGTATGTAAACTTTATCTGTGTGCCCATTTAAGGGGCTCTGGTGGCACAATCATTGAGCACTTGACTGCTAATGGAAAGGTTGGCGTTTCAAACCCACCCAGAAGCTCCACGGGATGAAGACCTGGGGATTTGCTCCTGTAAAGATTACAGCCTAGGAAATCCTATGAGGCAGTTCTATTCTGTCATACGAGGTCGCAACGGGTAGGAATCGACTCAACAACAATCGACCAACAACAACAGGTCACCTACATTTTTCTGTTTTCTGCTTCGGAAATGTTGTAGGTGTGGTCTCTCTCTCTGCGTGGATGTTTGCTTTTGTAGAAGAACGTCTCTCTGTAAATCAGTGGGGATTTGGAGGCAAGTAGGTTCAGTTGTTCGGCTCCCATCTTTGACCAGTGACCTTTTGTATGGATCTTAAATGCACAGATCTCAAGTCTTCAGGTCAATGAGTTTTGGTAGCTGTAACTTCCCTCAAACAAGAACATTTCTTCATTTCAGAAAGTTCCCTCGTTCTCCTGTGCCCCTTAACTGTCAGTTCTACCCCCCACCATATCCCTTCCCTCACCCCCGGGACATCCTCTTTCTGACTTCTTTCACCCATAGATTAGTGTTGCCTGTTTTGGCTAAAGAAGCCCTGGTGGCACAGTGGTTAAGAGCTCAGCAGCTAACCAAAAGCTCAGCAGTTTGACTCCCCCAGCCGCTCCCTGGAAACCCTATGGAGCCGTTCTGCTCTGTCCTATAGGGTCGCTACGAGTCAGAATCGACTCGACAGCAGCAGGTTTGGTTTGGTTTTTGGTTCTTGGCTAAAGGAGTCCTGGTGGCGCAGTGGTTAAAAGGCTCGGCTGCTAACTGAGGTCTGTAGTTTGAACCCACTCAGTGGGTCCGCAGGAGAAAAGACTGGCAATCTGCTCCTGTAAAGATGACAGCCCTGGAAACCCTTCACTCCCTTCACCGTTCTCTAGAAGTACGTGCCTCTTAAATACTGGGATTTTTTACAAGTCAGACCACATCCTTGCTCTTGTATACTGCATGGACATACTGAAATATCTCATCACATCTTAAAATGAACTAGACCCTGATGACTGCCCCGCCTCTGTCTCCAGCCCAGACACCTCACCTGAGCTCCAGAGATACATGGCATAGTCATCTCACCCATCTGCGGGGTCCTGCTGGCCCCTCCAACTCAAATACTGAAACTGAACTCACTGTACTCTCTTCAAAACCGATTTCTCCTGTTGAATTTCTTGCCTTCATTAAAAGCATCAGCAACAGGCCACCCAAACTACAAAATTGAGTCATCCTGAGACTCTTCTTCAAGATACATATGGATTCGGTCACCAAGCCCTGTCAATCAGCTATCCGTGGAATCTTTGGAACCGTGCCTCCTTGGTCCTAAGTCAGTCCTTCTCACCTCTCATCTAGACTCCAGCAATTGCTTCTTGACTGGTTTCACCACCACTTCAGTGGTTAAGCGTCCCGCTGCTAACCCAAAGGGCGGCAGTTTCACTCCACCAGCTGCTCCTTGGAAACCCTACAGGGCAGTTCTACTGTCCCACAGGGTCGCTATGAGTTGAACGGCAACTGAACGGCAATGGGTTTGGTTTTTTGGTCTTCTAATTCTTCACATTGAAACCGATTACATTTCTAAAACTTTTTTATCATGTCATTCCTTTCCTCAAAAATATTTGATGACACACTTCATTTTCAGCCATCTCCAATTAAGGAGCCCTGGTGGTGCAACAGTTAAGTGATCAGCTGCTAACCAAAAGGTCAGTGGTTCAAACCCACCCAGCAGCTCTGCAGGAGAAAGACCTGTCAATCTGCTCTTGTAAAGATCACAGACTCAAAAACCCTATGAGGCCGTTCTACTCTGTCATATGGGGTCACTAGGAGTCAGAGAACCGACCTGACGACACCTAATAGCAACGACATATTCATTAGGGTCAAATGCTATAGGTGATTCTAGATCAGAAGCCAACCATCTAGTCCTAAACTGTGTTTAGCAAGTATCTTTGTGCCCACAACTGTCAGTCTGCCTTTTTGGCTAGCTCCATGTGTTAACATCTCTACCCGGGAGTGGTGTGTGAAGTAAAGTATACTGATGTTGTTCATTTGGTAGCTCTGATATATCCCTAAATAGGCTGATGCTGTTCATTTGGCAGTCCCGTAACAGGCTGGTTTAGGGCAGGATTGCCTGTTATTTATAAAATTTATTTATCTAACTGTCTGAGTCATTTAGTGTTGCTACAACAGAAGTACCACAAGTGGATGGCTTTCACAAAGAGAAGGTGTATTCTCTCACAGTCTAGTAGCTAGAAGTCCAAATTCAGGGTGTCAGCTCCAGGGGAAGGCTTTCTCTTCTCTGTTGGCTCAGGTGGAAGGTCCTTGCCATCAATCCTCCCTTGGTCTGGGAGCATCTCAGCATAGGAACCTCAGGTCCAAAGGACGCGCTCTGCTCCCAGCACTGCTTTCTTGGTGGCATGAGGTCCCCCAATTCTCTGCTTGCTTCTTTTTCCTTTTATCTTTTGTAAGATAAAAGGTGGTGCAGGCCACACCCTAAACACCCTTTACATTGGATCAGGAATGTGACCTTAGTAAGGGTGTTAACAAGCCCACCCTAATCCTTTTTAACATAAAATTACAATCACAAAATGGAGGACAACCATACAGTACTGGGAATCGTGGCCCAGTCAAATTGATAGACACATTTTTTGGGGGACATAATTCAGTCCATGACACTAACAAACTAGTTTTCCCATCGTGGCTTGGAAGCACAAAGAAACCATTTTATTCTGTGCAAAAGTTTCTGATCTGCTAC